GTTCATGGACCACCTTGCGATACTCAGTTTCCGTCAAATCCCTGGTGGCACAGGACTTCTTGCCGCGGTGTTGAGTCTCCGCTTTCTTGACTTCCTTGACCACTTCGTTCACAGGATCGGATTTGGTTGGATTGCCGGAGGTTCTATTCCATGTGGCACCTTTGATGGGCATGTAGAAGGAAATAGCCTTCTTGTCTTGCTCAAGAGTAGAGGAGCGGCAAGTTGGATTCTGCTCGAGGTCTTTGAAGTCAACGTCCGTCGTACCATACGCACGCCATTTCAAGTAGTCGGCAACGTGATGTGGTTGGATGCCCGCCAAAGCACTAGGTTGGAAGCGAGCCGCCTTGGTGTACGTCCTCTTGTGCAGCCAGCTCATGAATTTGACGAAGAGTCGATGGTAATCCCGGTTGTACTTGGGCCGTTCCGTGGGTGCTTCAGGCAAATCCGGCACATCTTCCAACCCAAAGGCTCCATCATTGGCATTGGCCATGGCCATGGTGAAGGAATTGTTTGGTCAACTAAGCAATTGTTGGTGGATCTGGAATTTTGGCAGAGTTCCTTTATAGAGTTGAAGGAATGAAAATAATGAGGAAAGCTGAGGCTGTTGGTGTCGGAGCATACGGAGTGTTCGCGCTAGTAGGATACTAGTACGACCACTGCGTTGTTTGCCTCTTTACAGCACGGGATTCTTTTTTGCCTCTTACTTTGCCGCACGGGATTCACTGAGTATGCTGCAACGACGTAGGATCCAACGATCGATCAGGTACGATTGGATCTTTTGGCTTGAGTATACCCTACCCCCTGCCTGCAACGTGCAACGGTTGGATCGCATTGGAATGGTACCGTATGTGTTGTGATACTTAGGGTGAAATTGGAATCCTCTCAGTTCTTTATGTATTCAGGCGCCAGCCATATATCTTTGCTGTTGCAGTTTATTTAATAATGAGAGTCTTATTGAGAGGATCTTTGTTTCAATGACTGCCGATACCATAGAGTTTCTACCTACCATACTGTGGTGGATCCTGAGGGTATGTAGGATCCCCATAGTAGTAGAGGGAAGCACATACTGACCCTGTGCAACTACTGTTGCAGAAATGTAGTACCGGTTTGGTACCGCTGTCTTTGCCAAGGATCAGATCCAGTGAATTCCAACTTCCAGCTCAACGAAAGAGCAACAAAAGGCGACTGCATTTCCATGGTCTGTTTCATGTGAGCAGTTTCATGTTGGCATACACCCACCGTACCGCGGCTGATCAAAGGCAAAGGCAAGTTACGAACCTGGGATGCTCTTGAGCACATCGGCACAGTCAACGTCAACATGAGTGCTAGCCGTAGTAGTGATTGTGAGAAGACTGGCGGCAATGCCAAGGACGTGGACGCCAACGCCGTGGATTCTGAGGCCACGGGTAACATGGCGGGGTCGTTAGAATCGTTGCAAACGCCGGTAGAGGGCACGTTGACGAGTGCATCTGTTGTAGAGAAACAGACTCCATGCAACAACGATCATATTAAGGAAGAAGGCAAGGCAAA